TCCGGTTTCTAAATTGAATAAAATTTGATTTAACACAAGATTAAAAATTGAAGACATTTTTGTGATATGATGAAAAAAAAATGCATGATTTTAAAGAAATAATTTCATATTTGTTATTAATTAATTTAATAGGTATATAATTCATTTCCATTAAAATATTTGATTTATAGAATAGCAGTAGCGCGCAAAATTAGGACACACAGTATGGTGTCGAATAATTGAAATATTTATTTTGAATTTTTGAAAATTCTTAGGGCACTTAAATAATTTATGTGTATATTGAATTAATATCGATTTTTTTTTATTATTTTGTATTTATTAAATTGATTTATGTATTAGTTACATTGTAACACTTGCTAATTTTCTCAAATATTTTTAATTTCTTTAAAAATTGAAGTAAAAGCGTGTCACAATATTCTTAATAATTAAAAACGAATCTACCTAAAAATGATTTTAGAAAAACCTGAATTTCAAATTATAAATACATTTCGAGATATTTGATTAAATTTTCCGAATTAAAAAAAATTTTGCTGTTCATAATTATTGTGCAATAATTTTTTTATAAACTAAACTGTATACACATACATAATATAAAAATATAAGTTGTTACAATATTGTTTTATTGCTAACTTGAATAAAATTAGTAATATTAAGTAAAACAAGAAAATTAATCAATATACTTAACAAAGACAATGCAAATTTCCTGACGAATTGACAATTAATATTTCCAGTTTTTGCCTCCAAATTTTCTTCTTTCCCAAAAATTTTGTTCTGGAATTTTTTTCTGGAAAAAAAACACTCAATTTCATATATGAAAATTAAACTCTGAAATTAAAATTTGAAAAAAATACAAAAAAAAAAAATAATAAAAATAATAAAAAACTCACGGATTTTCTTTTTTCTTTCAATTTTATTTCTCTTTTTCTTTCAAGAATTTCTATTACTATTTTACAATTTGATCATACAAATATTACTTACTGCTTTCTTTTATTTTTTTTTTATTTTTTTTATTTTTTAAATTTTTTCGTTCTTTTCTACTGATGAAAATTTTAATACAAGTTTTTTTTTTCAAATTTCTTTTTCTTTTATTATTATTTTTAATGAAACAACGAAATAAAATATTGTAAAATAAAAATTTGTCTTTTAAATAAAAATTAAAATACACAAAATTGAGAAGAATATGAGAAGAAGAGAAAAAATTATTGAAATAATGAAATAAATAAAAAAAAATAACAGTAATTATCAGTCGAAAATGAAATTAAAATAAAAAATTAAATAAAAAAAAATCCCTAAAGAAAATTCTAAATAGTGTTTATGAGTAAAATAAAAGCAGAAAAAAAACAATTAAATATAAAATTGTAAACTGTTAAAAAGACAAGAATTAGAAAACTGTAAAAGTAAATTAAATGAAAACTTGTTAAAATACTATAGAAATTGAATTTATATGTAAGAAGAGAGAAAAAATTACGTAATTAGAAATTTAAATGAGAAAATAAGAAAATTAGTACAATTTAATTAAATATTAATATAAACGATAGTAAATGTGACAATAGTGTTTTCACTTTTGAGTAAAATATGTGATAAAACCAAGTAAGAACGTAGATATAAGAAATATATAGATGAAAATAAATAATTTAGGAAAACAAAATTAAAAATTTCACAATTAAAAAATTTTATCAACATATTTTTAAACAGAATTTAAATTAAAATTAAAAATATGAAACAAACACATTTATTTTATTCTACCATTATGTATACAATAAAAAAAATCAATAAAAATAAGAGAACAAAACAGATTAATTATGAAATGTGAGAGTTAGGCTCTAGTTAAGAAGTTAATTCAGTAAATGAGAACTAAAATGAAAAACGAAATACTCAAGAATAATATTTTCAAAATTTACATACCCAGAGAGAAATCAATATTTTTTTTTTAGACAGAAATACAGTTTGAAAGAGTTTTAACATGAAACAAAAAAAAAATATTATTATTGCTCTTTAAATTTTTGTTTTTCCTTACTCTATATAATTTAACTATATTGGCAAGTAATATTTTCTCTGATATTTTATAAACAGAAACTAACATTACTTTTAACAAAATAACAAAACCAAAAGCTAAAATAATAAAGTAAAAAAAAAATCAAAACACAAAAAAAAAGCAATGAAACGTGTATGACATGTAAGAATAAAATAACATTTAGAGTTCTTTTACATTATTGAGTTTAAATGAGAAAAATTGCTAGCATGCAAATGCAAAATATATGCATATTAAGTTTTATAATATTTTATAGAAAATATAAGAGATTAACAATGTACGTATATAGTGAAAAAGCAAATGAAATGAATAAAAATTTAAATTGAATAATTGAATTATATTGGAAGAATAATAATAAAAAAAAAATAAGAACACAATAATAAGAAAAAGTAAGTTATTGAAGTTAATATGAAATAAATGAAAATTAATTTTTTTTTGTTTCTGTTTATGATAATTAACATATTGCATGACAGTTATGATATGCATTTATGGCAGTATATAGTTATTTTTATAGGAAACAGAGTAATGTTATAGAAAATGAGAAAAAAATGCAAAAAAAAGTAGTATTAACCTATATTATTATTATTATTAGAGATAAAATGTTTTTAGAACAGAGAGAGAAAACATTTCTAGTATATAGCGGCACTGATAGATGTTTTATATTAGAGATGAACTTATCTATATGAAGAAGATATAAGAAGATTAATAAAAAATTATATGAAAAAATATATACAAAAGATTTTACAAAATTAAAATGAAATACATGTACTCGTATAGATAATAAATATATAGAAGAAATATGAAATATATGTTATATATATAGAATTAATACTAATTTAAATGAGAAATTTAGATATAAAAAATTAGAAAGTTTTAAATTTAAAATGAAATTTGTTAATATGAAGAATCTGTTTGTATGTATATCTGATAATTTTCTGTTGATCCTTTTCTTACATTCTCTGTCAACTACTTAAAATATAATTTGTATACATTATTATTATTACAAAAAATAAATGTGCATGCTTTAATTTAAAAATAATTAGTCTTTTAAAATTAAAATTAAAATTAAAATTAAATACAATAGTTTACAATTTCATAAATAAAGAAAAAAAAGAAAACAAAATTATACTTATAAGAAATTTCATAGTTTAAAAGAATATTAAAAATAAAAAGTATATTTTTACTTTAGAGAATTTAGACTAAAGATTTTGAAAAAATACAAGACTAAGTTTTATAAATACACATATATATATATATATACGTTTATAGTAGAAATAGAGATAATTTTATAATTACCAAAAATAAAATAATTAAAAAAAACAAAATAAAAATAAATTAAAAAATAATATAAAAAAGGCAAGACTAGATGAAATTTACCTAATACAGAATAGAATGAACATTACATTGATACAAGCTACTTGTTATACATATAAATTATCTATATATATATATATATTTAATTATATAAATACTAAAATTTATAAATATATTATTCGTTTTTAAAGAAAATATAGAAGTTGCGTTTCATTTATTTTTTTTATATTTAATACGCATCAAATGTGTGTGTTTTTGTGTGTATAATAAAATTTAAAATATTAAAATTGAAAATTTTTTTCGTTTTTTTTTTTTTTTGCACAAAATTGAAAGGAAGAAATAAAATTTGATCTTTTTCAATAATTTAAAATAATAAATTATAGATGTTTTTTTTTTTAAATAATAATTTATATAAATATATAAATAAATAATTTAACCAAAAATTTGAAATTTTAATAAATATTAAATATTTATAAATAAATTGAAAAATAACAAAAATATATTAAATATATTTATAAGAAGCAAAAAAAACACCTAATTCAATAAATAAAATAAATATTTTAAATTAATTTCTTTTCGTAATTTTCGTTTTTTTTTTCATACTTTTCTTTAAATAAATAAAAAAAAAATAATTTATTAAATTAAAAACAAATATTAATAAAATAAAATAAAAAAATTAATGTGAAAATTTCGACTAAATACGTATTTATAAATATTTAATTTCACAAAAAATAAAATAAATTTTTGTTTCGGGTATATACGGTCTTTAAAATTAATTTATAAAAATATTGGAGTATTGCAAAGGTACTATGAAAATATTAAAAAAATTTCATATTTTTTTATTCAAAATAATTAATATTTTCATTTCTATCGTCTCTCTCTCTCTCTTTATTTCTCTAAAACTAACGAAAAGAGAGAAAGAGATTCTTTTATTTTAATATATTTTTTATATTTTATAATTTTATTTAATAAATATTTCTTCCATAATATGCACTTCTTATTTTCATTGTTATTTCATTCTTTAAATGCAAATAATTTTATATAAAATATATTTATTATTTTAATATATAATTTATTCGTTTGTTTGTTTTTTTTCTATTTTTCAATAATTTAAAATAAATATACGCAATATTATTATACTTTTATTTTAAATATACTTAAATTTCTTATTGAAATAGTTTTTTTTTCCCCGCAAAGAAAAAAAGAAAATTATTTCACTTTTGCATGTCGTCGAACAAAATATTAAAAAAAATATTAAAAATTCAAAATTAATGAACAAAAAAAAAATTACATTATAAATTAAGTTATTTAAAAAAAAAACTAAGAAAAATTAAAAAAAAAAAAATAAAAAAATTCAATATTAAATTAAAAAATTTTTCAAAAATTACAATTTCAATTCAAATTCTTAAAAATTACCCCTAAATTCTTAGAAGCTTTAAAAGAATTTAAATAAGTCTATTTATAAATAACATTATTATTTTTATATTTATACTTGTTTAAAAACAAAAAAAAAAAAATAATTGATAAGAAAGAACCTCGATAAAAATAAAACATTCATCTCAGCCCTTTTTTAAAAACGTTTTTCCATTATACTTATCAGATAATCTTTTGTGTTTTTGTGTGTGTGTGTGTTTATGTATATGTATTATTTTTCTTTTGTTTTTATTTCGTCCATTTTTTTTGTTTTAGTTTTTTTTTTTATTATATTGTATTTTCATTGTTTTTCTTTAAATCTTAATTTATTGTTGTGGCTGTTGTTGTTGTAATTGTTGTGGTTTTTGTGCAGCATATGCTAAATCTTGAGCATCAATTGAACGTCCCCATCCACCATGCCCACTGCTACCATAACCACCAACATCACCACCAGCACTATAACCTCCAGCATATGAATCATGACTTGCTGAATGACTTGATGAATGATGTGGATGTGCTACAACTTCATATGTAACATGTTTCTCTTGACTTAATAATTTTTTCAAACCAATAATTGCTGATAATACTAATGCAATTTTACCAATTAATAATGCTTTACCAGCAATTAATGCAATTGCACCCAATAATAATGGTAATAATGCAGCTGCTTTTAATGCAACTAATGCTAATATAGGACCCAAAATTTTAGCTGCTTTCTTTTTTTTACCTCTTGATTCTTCGACACCATTTAATGTATTATTATCATCACCAAATAAACTATCTGATACATCTTCAAGTGCTCGACCAGTTGATGATACAGCATTAACAATATCAGCACCATTTAATTCAACTTTAATTGTATGTGATTGTAAAAAATTTGATACACGATTTAATAATAATGATTCAATTGAATCATCAGCAGATATAGCACGTGGAGCACCACCTGTATTATCTGGACTACCCGGAGTTTTAACAACTGTAACACCTTCAGTTAATGCAAATTGATCACGTGCACCTAATACTTTATCAACAAAATTAAATAATTTATATTTTACACATGACACTGAATCCTTCCTTAAACAATCATTATAGATGCTATCCATAATATCAGTTTCACCATTGCCAATTGCATTTCTAGCATGGCCACGAGATTCTTCAGCTGGTAAAGCTAATACTAATCCAATACAACATATTAATGTAATATATTTTGTATACATTTTTATAAAATTATTCTTAACTTTTTTATTATATTTATTTTCTTTTTGTTTTTATAATTTTAAATTAATTTATTTTTTTTTTACAATTAAAAATATATGCAATTTGGTTTCACTTTTATTTTTTTAATTATAAAATTTAACTAATTTTTGTCTTTTATTCTGAAAGGTCTTTTTTTTTTAATATTTTTGTAACACTATTTTAATTTTAGAAAGCAAAACTTTTCTTATTTTTTCTTTGTACTATAAGCAATTTTTTTTTTACAGGTAATGTCGCCGAATGGAAGTGCAAGGATGATTTGATACGATTTCCCAATGTAACATCCAATTTATATAGGCTACGTATAAAACTTCTTTGATTATATACCCCACCAAATATGGCTTTCCCCAAAAAAACAAAAAGAAAGATATGAAAAAGAAATGAAGCCAACAACAAAAAGTATAAACAACAATAATAAACTTACCATCAACATACCAAAAATTCTTCTTCAACATTTTTATCTCAACTCTTTTTTAACGACTTCTTTGATAAGCGGCGGCTTATTATAAGCTTCAACTTATAAAATGGCTAAAATTTTCAAGGTTTTTATTTTTTCTTATAGATTTTCTTTATTTATAAACTTAAATTATACACGTTCATTATTATTTTATTCTATGCATCGAAGTGATAAAACTTACCTACATACATACTCGTACATATTTTAAACATAAGAAAATATTCAATGGAGAAATTGTAAAACTGAAGTGCGAGAAGAAAGCTTCAAAAAGAAGAAAAGAAAATATTCACCAATAAAAACAACAACAAATATTATAAACTTGTATTTCTCTCTCTCTCTTTTGTTTTTTTTTTTTGTTTTTATTTTTCTCTTTTGTTTCTTACAATAGTTTGTAATAATAATCATTGTATTGTAATATAATTATTAAAGCTAACTATCATCACACTTGCGCTACTGCTACAAGTTTTATTATTTGTACAATTATATTATTATTTTTGCCTATATATTAAATATCACATATGTATGCACATATGTATAACTCTGTATTAATATACGCTAATGTTAATTAAATTCGATATCACATATGTAGATATATATTAAGGAATTTTCCCCAGCCTAACTGTTATAACATTGTGATATTTCTAAATTGATTGATGAAGAAGTGTATTAACCTTACGTTAAGGTACAAATATTAAAAATAATAATGAAAAAGATATAAGAAAAGAAAATCATGTAACCATGTGGTAGATATGTGACGAACTTTTGCAAAAGAGAATTTTCTTTTAAAATACAAAAAAAAAATTAAAATAAAATACAAAATAGAAATGAAACAAAAAATTTATAAAAACAGTAATAAAAACGTGTTTATTTTATCAACAGTATAAGCGGTTCTAATACTTAATATATGCGGTGTACTACATACATATGTAAATACATATGTATATGTAACATGAATGTTTGATACTAGCATTCAAATTATGTACAGAAATATATAGCTACTTAATAAAAAATTTAAAATATAAAATACTACATACTGTTATTTTTATTACAATCTTTAAAGTTTTATACATACATACATATTGTTTTTAAAACAACATATACCTATTTTCGTTGTAACACTATTTTATATCATCTGAAATAGTGAATAGTGAACAGGTAATACCTTTAAGTCGGCTTTGATATAATGACGACTGCTTTAACAGTCAAGTTCATGGGAGTATTGAAAATACTTCTACATTATATACTATATATAAATATATTATTTACATACACAGGTACCTACACTTATTTAAGCTACTAGACAGGGTTTACTATGAAATGGTATTAATGAAATTTTTATTCAGTCTTCATACAAAATGTTTAATACCTTTAACTAAATTTTGATATTTCTTTAATTTTCTGTCTTTCTTTTTTTTCGTTAAAAAACTGTTATTAATTTGATTTGTTATTTTTTTTTTCGTTTTATAAACTTTTAAATATATTTACATAATGATCACACAATGAGGTTTTCCTTTTAATCTAGACAGCTTGGTGCAACTTGCAGTCAAAAAAGCATTTAATTATGAATAGCTTTATAATATGAAAGTTAAAAAAAATGAAATTTGTTTGTATCTATGTGTGCAGTATGGTTTTTGAAAAAATGAAAAAAGGTTTAATGAATTAAAATAATTTCGAAATAGTTTATAATACAATTTTAAATTTTGACTGAGAAACTACTTAATCTTTATAGAAAATTGCGGTTGAAAATAATAAAGGAATAAAGTGTTAGTAATATCAATCCAATTTAATTTAGCTTAAAGTTTAATATTATAATATTATTTATATGCAATTTTGTTAAATTTGTGCATTCATCAGCAAAATGTTCTATAATAAAAAATGAATAATCTTTAATTAATTATAATTTATTAATTTTAAATGTATTTAATTTAGTTTAGTAATTTTGTAAATTTTATAATTTGTTCAATAATATTTTAATTTTTTCATATTTTATAAATCAACTTAATATTTTGTTTTCAGTGACAAATTAGTATTATTGTGTTCTTAATACTTATATATAAGCAATAGAAAAATAAACACATAATAGTCGTATTTAATGGATTATATAATTGGCGCTCTTCAATTTTAATTATTTTAAATTTTAAGCGAAAGAAAAATAAATATGAAATAAAAGACTTAAGGGAGAAACTTTCATATGCAATGCGATAAGAATTAATACTCAGTAAAGGTATGCCTGTGAGTATACAGAATTACAATCACAGAGAAAATGAAATTACCATAATATTACATTTTAAGATATGTTTTACCAAGTACGTTTCAGTAATAAGTTTACTATTATCAGTAATCAGTTTGCTATCAGTATCGGTAATCAGTTTACTATTAAGTACGTATCAGTAATAAGTATATCATGAGTATATCACTAAGTAATAACTTAAAATAACTGAGAATATGTAAATTTTTGCGGGAGTATATTTTTTATGTTCCCTGATGGAAATTCTCATTAGACAATATTAGTGCGATTTTATTAAATTTAATTCCATTGTACATGCTACCATTAATAAAAAGGATGTTGTATAATAGATAATAAAATTAAGCTTATACATTCATTTAAAAATTAAGAAACTTTATAATATTTCTTATATTTTAAACGAGATTGTAAAATATAGAATTTACTAAAAATATTGCTATTCAACTTATGATATTTTAAAAATTTGAATATTTTTAACTTAAGAAAAAGAACAAAAAATAAATTTAAAAATAGCAATATTTATCAACGGCATAGAACAGAAATAGAATTTGTTAATTTAAAAATGATTTGCCGTTTTCGTAAATTCAAAATGTACAAAATTTTCTTTATGAATGCAGCTTCAACGAACACTGTATCTGAAATGAGCCTTTGTAAATGTAAAACGCGGGTAAAATTTGTGAAAATTATGAAAATTCAATTTTTAGTTTGCATGTTTTTCATTCAAAATTTTATAGTAATTAAATAAATTAATTACATACATTTGGTAATTTAAGTGACACATGGTAAATTTTGAAAAAAATTTGCTGACAAAATTTGATATTTGCGAATAGATATTCAATTTGACGGACGTACTATTTCAAAATTCAAATTTGGTGATAATTTTTATAGTCTTTTTTTATATACAATATATATTTTTTTCGAAAATTTATTTATAATAATATTCATATTTCCTTTTTAGGTCAATATCTCTCTTATTGAAATTATATCATGTGATAAAATAACCCAAAAACCACTTGAAAACATTTTATTATTAAAATTCTCTCTCTCTCTATATCGTATGTAATATGCATGTATTGAAAATTAAATAAAAAGAAAAGTAAAAAAGTCATTTAAGAATGAAAGTATCATAAATTAATTAAAAATCGCCCATCATAATTAGAAAATCAATGAAGGATGAAAGTTACTTTTTTATTTTAATTTTTGATTTTTTATGACAAAATCATTTCTTTTTTACATTAAAATTACATGGTACAAAAATTAAGAATTTTTATTTTTGAGTAAAAAAATGAAAAATTTTAAAAAAGAAATGAAACATCATAAATTTTATAATGTAAAAATTGGAAAAAAAGGAAAAAACAAGAAAAAAATTAAATTATCTTGCAAAATTATTCAGAAGGTCATCATATCAAAGATTTCACTTAAAGATAAATTTAAAAATATCAAAAAAGAAAAAACAAAAAAACAACAATTTATATAAATTTTTTTTTGTTATTTTGTTCTTTATTTTTCGTTTGGATAATGCAGATGAAATTCAAACCGGCCAACCAGCAAAACAGGACATTATAACTGGACTTAATTTACTTTCTGTGTCCAAAGTGAAATTATTTTTTGAATTTTTTCTTCACTTTTTTTATCTTTTTTTTTATTTTTATTTTTTAAACGAAATTCCAGGAAACCGAAAATTAATGCATGCACATATTTTCTTATATACCATGAACACAGGAGTGGGTATGAGTTTTTTAATTTTTTTTTTCCTTTTGATTTTGTTTTAATCAGAAACAAGTATACCGCAACTTGTTGTTCATTTACCAAATTTGCAACATAAATTTGTATTTTTTTTTCTGTTTTGTTACTGTTTTGTTTTTTCTGATTTTTATTGCTGTGCGTTTTACTTGTAAATATAAAATTTTTGAATTAAAATATAAAAAGTCAGCCTAAAGGGGTGTGTAGAGTGGCTAATTTTATATAAGTAAAATGAAAAATAAATAAAACGGCAGAAAAACAAAAAAAAAAAACAATTTACAAAAATAAAAGCAAAAATTATCAAAATATTGCCGCTAAGATCCGAGAAAACTAAAAATAATTTTAATAACTTTCTCATCTTTTGAATTTTATTTTGGAATTTTGTTTTTTTTTTTTCTTTTTTACACACATGCACAAACGTATTAGTGTAATTACAAAAATATTTTTGAAATTTTCGCGAAAGTATTTTATATTTATATTTTATATGTATGTAATATTAATTTTTTTTAAATAATTTT